AAAAACCCCCGTCCCCCCCCCCCCCCCCCTCAAGGATAGTCTGGTCAATAATGACAATTTTTTCGATAACTCATCCATTTCTTGACAGATCCCTCTCACCTTCGAACTCGACTGAGATATTGATGAGATCATTCTGTGTACAAAATTTCATGACAATCTGATCAGCTTTTCAGGAGTCATCGTGTAAACGGCCGGCCGGACACACTGACCGATTCTATAGTGTACTCACTGTTTTTTTTTTGAGTACACAAAAAAGATTAATGGATTATGAACAGAAGGAAAGCCATTGTTACTCTAGTGATTTTCGCTTTATGTATATATTTTTATAAAAAAGCATTTAGTGAATTTCGCTATCATCAAGGAATTCCATAATTTGCATTCTTCTTTTTTGTTTCATTAGAAATAACAAAATATGAATGAAAAAAAACTAAAATAATGCATCACGCCTTTTGATTTATGGAATCCTTCATCGATGTCATAACAAAAATATTTTTATTGACATAAGAATTATACAAAGCGAAACTTTCTATAAATAAAAAATCTATTCTTTTAATTTCCATTGTAAGAAAATTTTGTTTTCAACACGCTGAATGGTATAGTTATCAATGAATGTTTCCAGTTCAATTGTTCTTGTTATTATTTGAATAGTATTTTCGGTTGCACTAGGAACATTAAGACATAGAAAACAAAGATGAGGAATGCGAGTTATTTGATTTGTCAAAAGAAATGAGATGAACATTCGTAGATCTATGTTTAATATACAATCTACATCGAAATATTTCATACGTGGACAAAGATTGATAATAAACTGAATTTGCGACTTTTCAGTAATTTTATCGATTCTAACTTTTGTAATTTTGTTACTGAATGATAGTGAAAGATGTTCTTTTGTATCTGTAATCGATAAAAGTTTTGATTGAACCATTGATAAAGATGATATCTTTAACGATTCAAGATTCGGTAGTAGACGTAAAAGCTCTATGAGCACTTTAACAGATATGTTAATACTATTACTAATATTCAAGTGAGTAAATCGAATAGCATCAAAAATAGGCTTCCATATATCAGCAGTAAATTGAAATCGTCGGGTAATAGAACAATCTTCTAGAGTAACCAGAGTGGAACAGCAATCCTTCTTTTGTTGACTAAGACTATAATGATTGTCTATCGACTTTTGATTAGAATACGTATCGTGTCTCATATATTCGTACAAATCGAACCATTCCTTTCTAGAAGAAAAGAAAAGCAGAAAGATAGACAAGTTAACATATCAATATTTTCTCTGTGTACTTATGTGGATAAACCAAGAAAGTCACATCGGTACGATCGATTTTCAGTTCGCTGTACCATTTTCTTGCAAGCCAAAATGATGAAGAAAATTTACTGATGCATTCATGAGGTGAATCATCACTTGAAATATCATCGATACATTGATCACATTGTAAATAAAAAATTTTTAGATAAGGCATGCGGTTTTTAATCAATCGTTCCCATCGGTCAGCATCAAGATAACCCATATAATAAGATCCATTAATACGTAATACTTGTAATTCACTTGTTAATTCTTTCATAAACGCTTCAAAGTCATTAAAGTCCGTTCCAAGACAACCAATAGACATCTTTGTCAAATGTGACATTTTTAATGGTGAATATTTTTTTACATCGGTCTCTGATTCGATCACATGCTCACATCTTAGATGACAAAGGTTGGGTAAATAACGAATCAACGAACTAAGTTGACCCAAAGTACAACTATAGTCAGTATTAAAGTATTTAATAGAACTGAACTTTGCATTAATAGTAATTGGCACATCGATTGATAGCTCTTCTGTGTATGTTGCTAATGATATTTTGTTATATTTTAATGTTGGCAAAGAAAAAATCAGTCGATAAACGTCACCGAGATTACAATAATAATAATCTTCGTCGATTGCGATCGTCAGTGAGAAGAGACGAGGCAAAGAATTTAAATAGAAGAGAATTTGTAGAAGTTGTCGAATTTCGACTCGCTGAAGAACAACAGATTCAAGACAAGTAAACGACGAATCAATAGTACACAAATTAAAAAAATGACCGATTATCGATTCATTTCTTATATGAAGTGACAGAAGACGATGTCTATTTGGAATGAGCAAGTGCCGACAGCGATTTTCCAGTATTGATTCTGATTGCGAATATAAATTCAATTTCAATCGATATGACGACGAGAATAAAAGATCTTGAAAACGAATGTTAAGAGTCGAAAATGCTTTATATACATCACACGTATCAAGATAGTCGAATATTTCGTAGAAGATCTCATTGGCCAAGTGTTCTAAACACGCTTTCGACGAGCTAAGAGAAACCCAAATAAAGGAATGCCGTTTGAAAATCATATTTTTCCTTACTCATTTTCCGTAAGTTCCACTGAAATAAGATATGAAAACTAATTAGAAATCTTGTTGGCTATCATAACACATACCTCGTAACCTTTTTATATTCGTACCGGTCGCTTGAATAAAATTCAATTGTCGTTTGGTTTGAATCATGTTGATTTATCTCATGAAATCTACGTATAAAATTTCATGTAGTAAAGCTCATTGTATGCTGTAGTTCTCCTTTTTACTCATTAAATTTTTTATTTATTTCTATCATGTAAGGTAGTAGATACTCACTTGAAACAAGCAAAACAGTATTTCAACGTGCGCATTCGAGACACACCACACCTCACGGCACAAAAAAATACGCCATATTCTTTTCTTTCTCTATGTTGCATTTCTCGATTCGTTGTCTATCAGTAGTCAGCAGAAAAAGAGCGCACATGGTGACTCACTGAACTGGGTAAAATCCAAAAAAACAAGCAAGATTGATTCCCAACGTCAGATTTATTTCAATCGACCAGAATATGGAAGAATTGAGTTCTCAACGACTCCTTGGGAATTACAAAGACTTAATCACCGAATAATTACATCAGCAGATAAACGTTATTGACCGTAATCTTGATTATTTATATCGATGAAAGGAACCAACACGATACTATTTTCTAAGATTTAGACTGAATATTTTTTTCAGATAAGAACGTCTGAAATGATGGAGAAACAACGATTCTCAATTGATAATAAAAGTAACGAAATACACGACTAAATATTTACATGCTGATAAAACGTTTTTTCAGAAATGTTGGAAAAAAAACAACACTTGCGCGAAGTGGTTTCGAGGAAATATACAAAAAAGCTTGTTAGTGCAGTCCCTTTGGGGCTAAAATGTGGAACTCACATATATCCCTTAGGTCTACTAAAACAATTGCGTATGTTTGTAATGGAGTATTAATCGTTAGCTCGTATATTTAACAATGGTAGAGACTACTTGCTATGGTCTGTAATGAGCCAGCAGTGCTTTTCCCGTGTAGCCTGTAATTAAAAAAGAAAAAAATAGCAGCTTAATTAGTCAAGTCCCTAATTAGCACAATTTTAAACTCATTAATGTCTGTAATGAGGAGGGGGGCCGCAAAATCTCGCTTTTAAATTTACACTCACCATTTTCTTCGAAAATATATGTGAGCTCCACAAAATCTTGTTCTGATTAGATTTCTCTGAAATTTTTAGTAGCGTTAATACATTCGTGTGTACAGCACAAAGAAGACATGCAAATCAAACTCTACCTGAAATTTTTTACAAGTACTTGTGAATAGTTGAACTCTCTTTTCTGATTCGATCTGTACGCAAGACTCGGTTGTATGAAACCATATATTCTAACTAAACTATACTTTTATTTATGGCTTGGCCGTATTCAGTGATGCAATCAGTAGGTGTTTCTTTTTCTTATGACTAATATTCTATGGATGTAAGTTTGGCCTGTTGATCATCAGTCGAATTACTTTTTTGTGTTCGTAGCAATGAAATTGAAACTAAATTAAAACAAACTTGAGGTGTGTGAAGTTCAGGATAAAAATTAATGAAAGAGACGTCTGAATTCTATTTATTTTTTTCTGACAATTTCTGAATCATGCTTGGCAAATACTTTTTATAGGAATTAAGTAGCTAGCGAAATCTGTTAAGATTGAATATGGAGCTACTACCGCATTCCTATGAACGATCAATTTCATTAAACTTAACTCATGAATTGGCAGGAGTATTCGTTCTAGATTTGTTATACTTTCATTCAACTCCTTGGAGATAGCTCTAGCCATGATTTAGCGTACTATAATTGCCATTGTTAAGTCGAATTTTTTCTTATATAGGTTTCAACGTGTGAGTGTATTTCATATTCTTCGATTAGAATAAAAGAATACTATGCATATAATACAATCGATTGAATTATGAAATAGAGCGTCCATCAAATAAATTCTACTGAAGTTATTCACTTTTCAAGACAGATCACACCCTGCGTATGACAGGAAAATCACTTACGCCAACTAAGCAAATCCATCCATAATACCTTCAGTTAAATTGGCTGTGATTATTTTTTATTTTATTTCAAAGAATGAGGATTACATGATGAATACTAATATTGTGAATTATGACTGTTATCAATGATGAAAAAGCAAGGTCAAGATCCTGGGCAACATCATTCCACTATTGTGTACCATCTTGGTTACATTTGAAAACTTTTTTGATAAATAAAATGAGTGAAATCAAACTTGATTTGGGAGTGATCTGGTAGATTAAATAAATAAACAGCTATGAAGACTACGGTATTTATTGCACACGAACATAGATTGCGTTTGAACGAATATAATCTTTGTGTTCTGCTTTTAGTTTGTGTCGACCACCACTTGTGAAGGCAACTTTGACATTTCCATTGGAATCTGATACATATTTACCAACTTTCGCACCTGATATTGGTGCGTCTGTAGCGCCATTTGTGACCCTGAATATTGTGTTACAACCACGGCGAGCAGTCAGAGGTACCGTGAGTTTGAGAAAGTATTTTTTGCTGAACGCATCAAAAGCGAAAAGAACTTCGTCATTCTGTTGAACACGCGTTTCGCATCCTCCAGTTTTTGTGTAGTTATAATTGGCCAGAATACCCCAGAATTGTGTAGCCGTTTGCGCGTCACTGCCGATGCGCGTAATAAAGAAATCATCATATATAGTTGAGAACGTACCGTCCCAAGTAAAACGACCACATTTGCTTGCATCATCAAGAGCACTTGTAACAGTCGAACCAGCTGTTGGATGACTATTCAAATTTTTACCATCACAATGATGTGCACTGTCTCCTGATTCAACTGTGATATTGTGTCCACGAGTAAAATGGAAATTTGACTCCTGTATAAAAAAAAAGAAAAAGAAGAATAAAAATCGATAATAGAAATTATGTTTGATCAGTGTCGAATAACATACGAATATAGTATTGCTCTTGCCCTCGATTCGAATTTTGACAGTTGAACCACGATCGGCATTCAAGGAGAGAACCAGAATGCTGGATATAATTAGAAAAATGAAGGACATTTATATGATCTGAAAGACAACATAAATATGATACGAAGATATTTTTTTTCAATTACACCTCGTTGTTGAGCGCTAAATGCGTGGTATTATAAAATGGGAATATTACTTCTATGTAGTCTGTAGTGGAAAATGGAAATTGCATAATGGAATCAACTGTATCAAGATGCAATGATGTTCTCATAGTGAAACTTCCGCTGTGATGTTCAGTAGTTTTAACAATAATTTATATGCACAAATACCAGTGGCGCATATATATGCATAATAGAGCTCCGTGTTGGATAGGATGGGATTACTAAAACAAAGTTCCCTCCCAAGAGATGGGACTGATTTGAGAGAAAATTACATCCGATGAGATAGGGCGAGAATGATAACCGTCGAAATCATTTAGTGAATAATGACCAACTGAAACTATGAAAAAAATGATTTCATTGTATATTTCATAACTTTGTTTTCTTCATTAATCCTGCCCTCCGAAATAAACGGACACGGTCTTGAATTGCTTGCCAGCAGATCGTTCCTTTTTTGGATGGCTTTTTATTAGAGTCATATTTTTGAAGATAATAGTTATCAATGAATAGTTTTAATAAAACAGGGTGTTGGTATTTTTCATGTCAAAATATACTTCACGCGATGGAAAATCCAATACCTTCCCTGGAAAACAGCAAAAAAATGCCAGTCTGCGATTACTTTTTTGAATTAAGTAGTCTATTGGAACATGAATTTTTAATCTGTGGACGGATTTTTACTCTTCTTGTAATTTGCAATGAAAAACAAATCCTTTTTTTCATCTGGTTAAGATACGCTCTATGGAATACTGTATGTAGCTTATCCTACGCGATTAGAACCACTGTCCAATGTTTACTCCCATTCATCCAAGAATTGTTTGACGTAAAATGGCTGCTGTATGGGACTAATATGATCTGTTGGAAAATAATTGGGACTATTTATTTGAAAGAATTATTCAATATTATATTCAGATTAATGCATAAATAATATCAGTTTAAAATTCTTGTCTTGAAATACACAATTTTCAGCTGAATCAAAATATCATTCTAAATCGAAAATAGTTAATTTACAATGTATGCATCACATAAAAATTATAGTTTACCTCAGAGACTTAACAAATCATCATTGCATTATACGTATAGTGTATGAGATCATATCAACTTCTTTACAATTTTTGATTTCATACAAACAAAACGATAATTGCCTGTCTAGAAACAGCTATAAACACTGAGCAAGGAGAATAAATTATTTTAGAGGAGAACGATCAAATTTCGAGATAAATCTCTTATGAATTGAATAATAAGCAAGAGCCGTTCTTAATGTTTATTCTTCTCTGAATGACTTTTTCCCCATATTCTTTCTTCTAAATTAGAAGAATCTTTTGATATTGTTTTATTTAGATATCACGTGTATAGCTAACAAAAAGAAGAAATATCAACAAACAACTAAGTAAAATGATGATCATACTCTGATTTTTGCAAGAGAAAGGCTCTATAGAGCTAAATACATTTTCTGTAGCACGTAAAACAAAGAATTCAAAAGATCATCTTCACTAAAATCTATTTTTTACTTTGCCATCACAGCCATCTCCTAATAGCACTACTTTAAAACAAACATTTCTATTCATCGTTTATTGCATTAACAAGACTTCTATCTGAAACCTAAAAGAAAATTTTTTTCCTATATAAATTCGCAGAAATGATGATAAAAAATAATGGATAGCAGTGTGGAGGTAAAATTTTGCACAATCACAATGATAACTGTAAAGATAAACGCATAGCAAGATTAGTTCGTCCTAAAATTTCTTCTAAGAACCATATTTTGCCAAGGGTGCGCACGACTGTAAGTTGTTATGGACGACTAAAATAATCGTGCCTACTGACACTCACACCCCGATCATCCCATACTAGAGCTATAACCAGAAGAAAAAATTCAGTAGATGTGAAAGAAACTCATGAGTTTGCGAAAAAAATTCAATTAGAAATCTCAAGTTTTAGTCCGTCTTTTTATTGATATCCACACCCGCGAGTCGCTTCTTTTACTGATTTATAATCAACCGAATATTCAGATGCTTTGAATCCAAGAAAATAATCTCGAAGTAAGAATCATCGATTTCTTTTTCGCTCGGTTCTTATCATAATACTTAAATGCAAACATCGTTTCACGTTCTATGTATCGACCGTAGTTCATCTACAAAGTTTACAATGCTTTTTTCAATTGATAAATTGCGATCGTGCATTTTTTTAAAATATCGACGGTCAAAAAATGAGTTTCATGAAAAGTATCAATATCATTCATGTTTTATTTATTTTCACTCATCCATAAACACAATGAAAAACTATATTTATCGTTAATTTCACATGCAAAGCCATTTTCTTTTTTTTCGCGCTTTAAACGACAACTGTGTTGCTTCAACCATTCACGTGTTATTTTGATTTTATCAAAGTGATATTCATCAAGAACAAAGAAACCATCGAGCATATTGTTGAAATGATCAATTAAAAATACAATTTGGTTTTTTGAATTAATCGAAGCAGTTAATCGTTCGACGCACGGAAAAACTTTTGACCAATTGAATTGAATTTTTTCTTTGCGTCGACCAAATTGAGGTAAAGACAATCGTCGAATTTGTGGCAATGAAATATCAGGAAAATATTTGTTTCTTAAACTCGTTTGAGAACAATTGAGACGAAGATAATTGACACAGGGCATTGCCGTTTTAATCAATTGAACAATTTTGTCCAATGGCCAATCCGATGTATTGATAATTAATGATTCTACTTTGGATAAATCAACAATATTATCATACATATAAGGATCATTGAAAATTAGTTTTTTCACATGATTATAACGATAAGGATGTTCCGATTGACCTGATTCATATTTCAATTGATTAACACGATCATAAAAAATACTATGTTGTTCAAGAGGTAATGTTGTCCAATCCGATGACACCGATTGAATTGAATTCCTCGTTTCAGTTGAAGCAAAATGAGGTACGGTAAATAATCTTTGACTCTGCGAATCAAAAGCAACAAACCAATGTTTATTCAACCAAAATGGAGAACGAAATCGATCAATTATTTCTCGCTCGTCAAAACTTGCGGGAAATTTAAAATTGAAAGTCATTAATTTTGGTAAATGTTCGACAATAAGTTTCTCCCAATGATTGGCATTAAGAAATTCATGATCTAAATAAGTTTTAATGATTAGTTCGAATTGTTGCAAGCGTTGAAATGGAGTCAGAAATAGTTCAAAATGATGATTCGTTAGTTCTAAAGCTGAAATAGAAAATGAAAAAAAAAATTTTTAATAATGTTTCACGCGATCCTACACACTAGGACTACGACTGTTCGAACAGGTCGTTTGAACTCAACTGTTTTCGAACTGTCGTAGTCCTACTACACACAACTCACCAGGCGCATCGATTGTTAGTGATAGAGAAACGAGATCAACCGGTGTTATTTGTATTTTATGGATATAAGCGAATAAATTAACTTCCATTGGCTTCCACAAGAACAACGAAGTTTTAAATGATTTAAGTTGAGGCATCTCATTAAAAAAATGTAGAAATGCACCAAATGAACAATAAGATATAGATAAATGTCGTACATATTCCAATGAGAGTGAACCAATGGATCGTCGAATATCAAACTGCACATCGGATGGCAAATTAATAATGAGAGTTTTTATTGGTGGCAAAGCCTTAATCAATGGAAGATCAAATCGAATATTGATTTCAAGAGAAACAAGACGTTGCAGTTTGTATAATTTCGATAGTAAGGATTGACCATCATCGGCTAATTCAATTAATTTTAATGAACGTAAGCGAGTAAATTTTTCGATTCGAAAGAGAGTTTGAAACAATTGAGATTGACAAGGCGTTTGCTTCTGATCAGCTAGAATTAATGAAATAACCTGTTCCGGACGAATAAGACGACACACAAGATCAAAATGTGTTTTACGAATTGATTGAAAATTGATCCTATATTGGTCGTAAGCGAATAGAATACGATTGAAATGATCGTTTATGTTAAAGAACATGTATAGAATTTCATGAGCCCAGAAATAATCGAAAATCATGCGAAGAATTTCGATTGGAAATCGGTTTAGTGCGAGAGGCATGACTAGATCTAAAATTGAATGATCCAGTCAATAATATGAATATAAAAAGAGAGAATAAACATAGCGGCTGTCGACTTGAAATTATTTCATTATGTCTATATCGAATATATTCACATCGTTGTTTTAAGCATGTGAAAAAATTATTGAAAGATAAACCAGCTGTTGCTCGTGGCGAAATTGATTCGTTCATTTATCTCTGTTGTGATAGCTTTATTAAATTTTTGCGATCTTTATCTATCACCAAGGTGAATTGTTTAATACATCGCCACACTTGTTTATTTTTCTGCGAAGATGGTGTAAAGTGTGCCCCAGGGTCGCAACGTGTCAACTTTTTATGGCCCGGCCCGACTCGGTGAATGTTTTTCTATCGTATTTTGGAAAACTAATCTTGAAGATCACTGTAGTATCTAGAAACAAATGTGAAAAAAAAGTATAGCGTTGATTTGTTGATAAATTTGACAAGATCCCAGCATTCTTACAATAGAAAAGAAAAAAGAAATAAAAATATAAATGTGCTCAATAGAAAAAGAAATATAACATCTCGGCCCGGGTTGATCCATCGGGTCGGACAGCCCGTTACGACTTCTGTTTTGAATGTAGATACAGCAGATGACCAATAAAACATTCATACATGCCTTTGGTCCATTTTTCGTTGCCCGCGATAAAATCAAATTTTCTCTCTTGACTAACTACCGTTACGAAATCTCGATACATTTCTGTATATTCTCTTTCTATCCAGCTAGAGAAATCGATAAAAAATTGTACTATTGATCAGTGCAGCAATACCAGAAATAATTTCTTTGTAGAAAAAAAAATGAATCAAGAAAGTCATTATGGAGTTCTCAGCGTTATTGTAAGCAAGCTCTTTTACTTCATCTCGATAATGGTGTTCTTTTCTTATGATCGTAGTGAACGAGCACAATTGTATATGAGTAAGAAGTAGTCCGAAAATTTTGTCGAAAAGATAAATACATGAACAAACGAATGTCAACATTTGAATGTTTATGATAATTTTTATGAAGAATTTACCATAATTTTCATTGATAGACTTGAAAAGTTCGATGATTATTTTGACAACAACGGCGAGATCAATAAATACAGTGTATGTTCCATATGCCAACACTTTTTTCTACATCTAGATGATCGTGAATATCGAGTTACAAGATCGTATCAGAAGACTCATCGATATCTATCAAACCGAGTATTTGGAACTGGCAGCCATCTATGTTGTCAACTGAATACGCTTACATTTGGTCAAGTTCTGAATGGCAACGTATAAAAAAGATGATTGATCAACTAAAAGAACCTATTTGAATCGTACAATGAAATGCGCTGACTGATAGCTCACGTATTTACATTAATAAGAGCAGTAATCATTATAGGCGATGTGAATGCGATGAATATTTTCCGGATAGAATTGCTTTCGAACGGGTTGAAGCTGTCTTCTATGGTTCAACTCATTGAAATACAAACCAACTCGTCAGGCACAACTAAAATAGTTCCGGGAACAAGAATACCTATGTTTGATAGATTTTTTATCGAATTTAAGAACAGCGATCTGCTTAAGTGTCATATCAATGTCGACGATTTTTATTATACAATTAAAAAAACTCCCCGCAAATGTGTTTGCCCGAGTTTAGACAGGGATTGTCAAAATTGTGGGAAAATATTTCATCATCATTACTGTTGTCATATGTGTGGTGCAACAAAACGTTATAATTGTCTACTATCTGCAAATATTCCTCATTTCGACTATGTTACAGTATGTAAAGCATGTGCAAATGAGATACCAAAAATAGAAGATCAGACTGTATACAATTGTCTCAAACAGGCAATTGAAAACGTTACTTCAAATTGTCTTCACAGTTATTGAGCCTTACTTCGACAGTCTAGGCAAGAAGATTTAATATCTTATTATAAACACCCTGGACAACATTTTCTTTCAGTTACATTATTACTCTTTAGCATTACAGTGTTATTGCTAAATAGAACGAATTATTAAATATTATGACAGTGGCGTGTTTGTAAAAGAAATACTCCCTGGCAATTTCTTGCATTCGTTTGATATATACTTCACCAGCCATGAAAGACACTTAAGTTTTGCCCTTCTTCTTTTAACTTGGAATTTGGAAACGACTTGATAATGAGCAAGCATTAAAAGTAGGTAATAGATGTACTTATTCTAATATATGGAACTGTCGTTCTACTATCCAATCGTATGACTCACACCACGAAGAAAAAGTATGTGATATACATAGTATTATTATCAATATATGTGTTGTTGACTATCCAATATATTGCAACGTGTATACAGTATCAGATTTTTTTTCTACTGAATTTCTTTCTGAGAAGAATTTACTTCGAATATAAGAGTAAAAAATATCGCAAAAATTTACAGAAAACTGTTTGATATGATATGAAGCACAAAAAAAAGGGAAACAGTTATTGTATATGTGTTGACTTCTGAAGCTGATGAATAAGAAAATAATATTGTCTCATAGCGATAATTGTTGACAGAAAGAACAATAACGTTTTGTACTATTGCTTATGAAGATGTTTAATAAGAATGATGCATAACATAAAAATTGCTTGATATTATTAAACGAAAATATGATGACAAAATTCGAGGAGCTCTCCGCCGAGTTGTTCTACGAGATATTTAATTATTTTCAGTTTCATGAAGTATTCAATATTTTTTCTAATCTCAATTCTCGATTTGCTGCTATTGTTAATAACATGCCACATATGCCTGTTTATTTGGGTCTAAATGCAATGAGTATAACAGTAACTGAATTCTATTACACACATTTATCACAATCGAACACATGTCACCGTCTTATTTCATTATGCGTTTCAAATGAATTCGCTTTTGATAATGGACTATGGTTAGCATCACATGTATCGAAATTCAACAATCTTCGTCGTTTATCCTTAATCGACATCAAATGCTCTTCTTTCGAATTGATTATTAATGCATTATCACCCAATACTCCTCTCATCATGTTTTCAATACGATTTACAACTTACGCTCGTGCTGCTGAAACATTTGCCGGTGTGCCTGAAGGTGCATATTACCAACAAATCTTTCGCTTATTTCCTTATTTACGTGTATGCGATCTACGTTTCTGGCGATACATATACGACACTCTAGACAATCAAATAGTTCTACCATTTGATGAAGTTTTCATGCCAATTGAAACAAGTATTTTTAACTTACAATCAATTGTAATTCAAGAATGTTCACCAGCCTTTCTATCACATTTACTTGAACATCTTCCACAATTGCAAGATCTCAGCTTTGGTCTATCTACTCCTTGGCTACCTGATCAACATCCACTAATGAATGATGTTAGCAAGTAAATTTCTTTTCTTGAACTTAGAATGGAAAAATATCAAATATGCGAATTCATTCAGTTATATTAGAATAAATTATAGATGAAAGTGAATCATTTCTGAATTGATTACATCCTTTTTCACTAATTTCAATAGACTATAAAGTGTTTAATTGTATGATGAAAAATTGAAAATAAGTTGTTTCAAAGATTTTTTAAGCCCCGCTCCCCCTAAAAAAAAGTCAATTTGCGTGAGAACTGTCAAAATTGAGATAAATACACAGGAAAATAGTTCGTCGTCTGCTCTTTTAAAATCAATAAAAATTTTTGCTAAACCCTCCACTTTTTCTAGAAATATTTCAGAGAACCAGTTTTTGAAACATCAAAAAATCTTTTTCTTTTTTTTCTCGTACGCGCATCCCAAATTTCTCTTTCATATTTCGTCCAATGTATTAATCTTTTTTTTTGCTTTGGAAGAGCACGTCAAGATGTAGTGCAGTACAGTCCTTTTCTAAATTAAGCTTGTGTTTTTATTATATATAAGCAGATCACCATTTTTAGGGTGTGGATGTGGGTGTGTATAAAATCTATCGTACTGCACAAGTTCGATTAGAAGTTGCTATTATAAAACTTTCATCAGCTGGATACTGGGTATCAAAAATTTGAGAAAGTTTCCATCCACTCACAACGTTGCATCAACGCATTTAAGAACAAGTTTATGAAATGACAGCAAACATTCTCACTCCTATTCATATAATTAATAGAAAAATAGTATCGAAACAAAATCTGTCTTATTCAAATCAAAGTTTTTATAACTTACACTATCGTAAGTCGTCCACAATTGATATATATTAATTTATTTTACATCATCATACAACGTATTTAAATTCTATGATGCAACTGTTAATTAAGTGCTTTTATTTAGTTTCTCGATCATAAAATAAATATCGAGTGCTGTTTACTCGATATAGTGATATTTCTATAATAATTATATTCGCATCTGTTAATTACAATGAGAAATAATAAAAACAAAAATTTTGATTACCCCGACACCATGAGAAACGTTTTTAATATTTATTTGAAAATACTACGTGTTCTCATATATATAAGAATTATATGAAGAACAAATCAATTTTCTATTAAATTTCAAATATATTTTGCGAACGAGAATTCTAACGCACAAATAAGTTTAAATTAATTAGAGATAGAATAGATTACTCTACCCTATTGCTTGTTGCTATTCATTGTTAAAAATTTCTATCATCTTCATTCGAGCAAACATTCAGTACCAAATTGTTTATTCAGAATTGAATAATTTCGTCCAAAAAGAATGATTTCCTTTTCTTCTTCCTTTGAATGCGTATTGTTGTTATATACGCGATATTTCTTCAAAGTGTACATGCTTGAAAAAAGAAAAGAAGTGGTAAAGTAAATAGAAATGGATTGAGTTACGTCGCTTTTCAGAAAAAAGACGTTTGAAAAAAAGATCGACTAAACCTTATGAATTGAAAAAATTTCTTTCCAACAACAACAACAACAACAACAGTAGCACATCAACTGCTTTCAAATTTTCGATCGTGGTAAGTTATTAGGAAGAAGGGTGTGGGTGTGGGTGCCCAGAACATCAACACCCACACCCTCAAGCCATATTTTAAAAAGATAGGTGCATCATTTTTATGATTTTATTTCAATTTCAATGTTTCATCATTCACATACTTATTCATATATATATATATTGTAAATATTGAACTACATTATAGTTTTAAGATTAAGACAAGTTTGCTATCATTGGGTGTGGGTGTGGGTGCCCAGAACGCCAACACCCACACATCCCTTTTATCTCAATTTAAAATAGAATCCTAGTCTGTGGAAATAGAATAATCGAAAGATTGAGCGGAGGCTTAATGTCTCGTTTTCTAGTTACAGTCAGCATCGATTTTTTTAAAAGGAATTCGTCACTTGACATCACAGAGAATTAAATTTTATAGAGATAAGAATTTATTTCGCTTTGTCACCACTTCATCGCCTACTCGCTTACTGAAAATTTCAGTGTTTCTATATGTAGTTATTTTTAATAGAATGTATACTTTTACGTAGAATGACGAAAGAAAGAAGAAATTAAAGATTATTTCATGTGAATTTGTGGTCGAACTTGCGATTTTACTCAATGATGTAATTACAACAGTTTGGTCCTTATTCAGTAACTATTTTTATACGTCAATCAGTCATGTTCAACACGCTATAAACAAATTCAAAATTTCATTTCTTTTTCTATGAAAACTAATGAGACATCATAGTTCTAGTTTTCACTAAACCAGATTAGGATGAACTCATTTTGAATCCGATAAACAGTCTCCATTGAATGAAAACTAAAGCTTCCATATTTTTTATGAATAGAAAGTTCTAGCCAACAGTTGTAAATTCTTGTCGAGTCGGTACTAACGTTATACATTACAAAACGTTAGTTCGAAATCAATCCTACTGATGATGTGGCTATTTCAATGGCATAGAATAAAAACAAACTTTAAGTTTACCCTATATTCATAAAGTTTCGTCGCCTAATAAAGATAAGAACATTTCAGCAACAGAGCAATGCATCGGCTATATGAAGTGACTTCAATGTAGGGCTCATCTCATATAGAAGTCGACGAAAAACTATAAAGAGAAAGCTTCAGATTAGTTCATACAGGGTGTCTTTTGATCACAGGTGTGTGGAAAATCTATCACCCAGCACACGTAATATTATGAGTTGGTACTGTAAGATTTGTTTCCGGTGGACACCCGATAAATTCTATTTTTTCGGAACTTGTTTTGTTTTTCAACCACTACAAATTTGTCAAATAAATTGTTAATCAAAACATATTGAATCAAGCATGACTCATTCTCGATTTAGAATTTTGCCCTAGCTATAGCTTTTTTAAAAATAAATCGATGGGCGTGGGTGTTGTCTCATAATCCTAACCACACCCATCATAGCCATCTAAATAATCCAATAAATACTATCTGAACTTCATATTACAATGTTTCAAAAGAAAAACACGGGCGAGGAGAATTAACTACACATACATGACCCTATCTCTTTCTTTGATACTCATTATATTCGATCTCGTGATGGTTTAAAGGCGACTCGAAAGTTTCGATACTATTTTTGTTTATAGCATAATAAATATGACAAAAGCATAGTGAAAAATCTAAAACCGCTGCAATATGTTTATAGTTAATTAGGTCAAGTTTCGTATCTAGATTTAGCTTTTGATAATCGATTCATATTCTAGATTGGGTTTATTTCTAATGGCGGCTAAGTTTACATCTGAGTCACGACGTAGGTTAGCGCTTGTGATTGGTATCGGTGATTATGAAAATGTCCGAAAATTAAAAAATCCTCAAAATGATGCGAAAGCATTATCATCTCTCTTACAACGTATCCGCTTTACTACTGCTGAGCAACACTTGGATAAAACACGCAATCAGTTGAAACATGTTCTTGTGGATTTTGAAGACTCAATACAATCTAACGATATAGTCCTGTTTTATTTTGCTGGACATGGGATACAATGGGAAGTATGTATTCAGAATTTTGCTGTTGTAAGCTT